TTTCTATAATATTTTAAAAGCAGAATTGTACTTTATGTAAAATCTCAATTAAATATTTAATAAAGATAGAGGCATGGACTCACTATTAATTAAAAAAAAAAAAAAAAAAAACATCTTTTGAACTTTTGTAGTTTTTGTATCTTACTGATCTTGTTGTAAACACAATACCTTTACTGTAATTTTGAAATGAACAACTTTATTATTACCAATTAGAATAATCAAGATGTTAATAATTTTTATAACCAATTTTTGCATCATACATATGATCTTCAAAACTTCTAATATTCTTAAGATTTTAGTAATTAAAACATTTAAGGACCTGACAACTTTGAAAATAACCAAGATAATTAAAATTTTAATAGTCTACAGATACTTATGATCATTCTTGTATTCAATTTTTTCAAAACTTCTGCCATTTTGGCAAAGATCATAAAGTTTGAAAAGCATGTAATTAGCTTCAAAGCATCCAAAATTTCGAAGTTCTTGACAACATCATCTCTTCATATATTCAAGACCTCAATTTGCAAGACACTTCTGATACTTCTTATGCTTAGTTTTTTCATAATGACTTTGGTAATTATCATATTCAACAACCATGTGATTATCTTTTAGAAACCTTTTATTTAGAAAGTAACAAGAATAAAGTATATTATGAAGTAGCTAATTTATAAAAGATGTTAAATAAAGAATTTCAGAAAGATGAATTAGGTAGCAAATATTTAGAATTAGAGTCACAAAATACCTATAATACTTTCCATAATCAACTTTTTCATAACAACTTTATTAATTCTTAAGATTATCTTTCAGAAACCTTTCTTTTATAGAATAACAAAAATAAAGTATATCTAAAAGTAGCTGATTTATATAAGATATTAGATGAAAAATTTTAGGAAGATGAATAGGGCAATAAACATTTAGAATTAAATAAGGAGCTTTTATTTTCAGATTGGCAATCAGTTAAGAATTGGTTGTATCAATTTGTATTACAAGAAAGTTTTGATTATAAGGTTAAAATTAGTAAAAAAGATGAACTAGATAAAAAAACAATTAGGTAAGCTAAGTATATAAGTACAAAAACTGGTATATATAATTTCAAAATAACTGCTGACCCAATTAAACAATGTAACAATGTATCTTAGTAAACAGAGTATTTATAGAAATTGAATATTACTTGTCCCAAAACAACATCTAAAGTAAAAATCAATTTATTCAATAATAATTATAATTATTCACTTATTTCTATGATTAAGAAAATCACTCCTTAGTTTCATAAGTTAACTTCTAAAATGCTAACTGATATTGAAAAATATATGGTTTAAAAAAGAATAAATTCAGCAACAATATACCTTTTACTTAAACATGATTATCCTGAACATCCCTTACATAAGTGTAATTTATATAATGCTATATATACTTTTAGATATAAAAATAATCTAGAAGATTTAGATGCTTCATTAATGCTTCAAAAATTATTGAAATAAAAGGAAAAAGATCTATTATAGATTGTAAAACTATGTTTAGAACCTATATCTTTTTTTTTTTTTTTTTTTTTTTTTTTTTTTTTTTTATTTATTTATTTATTTATAATATCAAGTAGGAAAAATTGATAATACATGAGCATGTCAATCAGACATAATTGTATAACTAAA